AATCCCAAAAATAATTTTACCCCATTTTATTATTATTATTATTTTTATTTCTATTAAATTAAATTAAATTAAATTAAAACCTTATAAATTAATTATTAAAATAAAATAAAATAAACAAAATTCCAAATTAAATAAAAATAAAAATAAAAGAAAAATCTTTGGGTGTTACATATCCTAAGGGTTTTGTGTAAGGAATGAATCCGAGAAATGCAGCTTTGATACCACCTATAACGACCCCGGAAATTCTAAAGAAGTAAATTATAACTTAAGTGCGGAAGTGAAATAAATAGTTAAGGTTTACATTTCTTACAAATAAACTTGAAGTCCTAAGTAGTGCTACGAGAATTAACCTTTTGAAGGAAATACAAAAAAATAAAGAAATAAAACGGAAAAATTGTGTGACTAAGTGAATAGATGAAATGACAGTCTTATTAGATATCTTGAGAGATGATTGACGGACAGGTACAATAGGGAACCCTACCATAAACGTTGTCTCATACCGAACGGGGTATCGAGACTTGATAATTTGGCGCTCATACCGGACGGAGTATGAAAACGGTCTGTTTCACTCTCATACTGAACGAGGTATTGAGGTTTAGTGGTTTAGTGCTCATACCGGACGGGGTATGGGAATGAACCTTTAATTGAGAATGTTGAAGGCAATGGTTTACGTGTAGCGGAGACATCCCTATGAACCCTTATGAATATCAGTAGGCCGATAAAATGAAAGGTTGTTGTTTGATTTATTGAATATAGATTTTATAATGTGTACTTGTTACCAACTGTACATGGAATCATGATAATTGCTATGTTGTTATTTCTATAGGTTACTTTATAAATATCGCTGCGGTAAGTAGAGTATAAATGGTTTTATTATTAAGAAATGTATTTGTTTAATTATGTGCTAGATTAGTTATTTTTTGATTTTCTACAAACATTCATTTTTATATCAGTGAGTAGCGTGATATTCTTACTGGGTTAGTGTAACTTATTCTTTATTTAACTATTTTAGATTAAGAGGACCAAGATTCAGAACCCGATTTGAAACACCCATAATTTTTTTTTCGGGATTAAAAATTAATAAATATAAATTTTTATTATTTTATTTTGTATTATTGTATTTTAATTTATTTAATTTAGAGTAAAAAAAATGAAATAAAATGTAAGGAGGATTTAATTGAAAATAATTTTAGGAAAAATGGATGAAAATTTGGGTTCTGGGGGTATTTTTGAAAAAAAAATCAAAACAGGGGCCAAAATACAATTTTATGAAGTTTCGCCACATCAGACGCTGAGTTAGCAGCCCTGACCAAGCAGGACGCACCAAGTGGCAGAGGCGCTGATGTGGGAGGCCACACAGGGAGGGCCACCTGCGCGTGATCAAATGACTGAGGTTTATTCTCGCGCGCACGAACGACCTGGATGCGCTCCCTCCCGAACGCAATCGAACAGTCAGATTCAAAAGCGATCGGACCGCCCAGAGTGAATCACGATGGACGACTCAGATTGGATCGTGATAAACGGTCCATACTCACTTTTTATTTAATCGCGATCGGACGGTCTAGATCAAATGCGATGGACGGTCCAGATCAAAAGTAAATGGATATAAATAACCCCAATCCACACCAAACTCTAACCCTAACCGCTAGAACCCCTCGCCGGAGAAGACGACCTAGTCGCCGTGGAGCCGATCACCAAACCCACCGCTGCACCGGAACCCTTTCCGACTGCCAAAAAAGGTAAAAACTTTTTCTTTTGCACAAAATTTAATTTTAACCTCACCCATGGCCAAATCGGAGTGAAAAGATTGGCTAATTGGCCGATAAACACCGGTAAAGCCCAGCGGCGCTGCCGCGGGAAATTTCATATACCGCATCCGATGAGGTCCTTCCCGATTCCCGTTTTATGTAATTTTTCTATCGTTGTGATCACTGTTTTCTTCTCTACAAGTTGATCGAAGAGAAACACCCAACCACAACTTGAGCTGGAGGAGCCACCACACCGGAGAGCCCTGCTGCCGGTGAGTTTCAGTTTTTCATATTTTTTCAGCCAACCGAGGCCCTTTAACGTGTTTGCTCGTAGAAATTGATGCAAAGTCGGCCGAAAACGACCGACCCTAGGCAGATCACTGCCGCTGGATTTTTGAAATTGGACGAGTGAGCCTTGGGACTGATTTTGGGTTTATTTGAAATATTTGTAGGTACTATAAACGTGTTTCAGTTTTTGGATAAAAAGTTCAGGGAACCCAGAGACTACCCATAGACTCAGTAAACCGTTTAGCTATTCGACGTTAAATCGAGTAAGGATCCTTCACCCTATTCTCTGTCATATAACTGAAAGCTAAATAAATAATAATATGATATTTTGTATGAATTTAAAAAAATGTGCATAATTGATTATGGATTGCTAATGGAGCTAGAACCGAAAATTCTCTACTGTTATTTTGTTGATTGTTTTACAGTTTAAATGCATAATAGTACCTTATTAATTGATTTTATGGCTTTGAATGCATGTATAGTTTATTTTATGTGTTTACTGCTGAATCAGAAAAAATGAAGTTTAAACGGTAAAGAAATTGTATGGTTAAATGATTAGATGAAAATGCAACCTTACCAGATATCCTAAGAGATAGTGGACGAACCGAATATATAAGGGACAATACCGCGAATTTTGTCTCATACCGAAAGGGGTATGAAGACTAAATAATTTGGTGCTCATACTGGACGGGGTATGGGGACAGCCCGCTTTACCCTTATACCGAACGGGGTATTGAGGTTTAATGTTTTGGTGCTTATACCGGACAGGGTATTGGGACGACCCTGTAATTAAGATTGTTAAAGAAAAAGGTTCACGTGTAGATGAGATATCCCTGTGAACCCCAATGGATACTAGTAGGCTGGTGAAAAAAGAAACAGTTATAATTTGATTTATTGTTAATGGATATAGATCTATAATACGTTCTATGTTGTTGATGGTTCTTGAAATTATTATCTGTATGGTATTATTATTTTTTATATGTTATTTTTATAAATTTCAGTATAATAAATGGACGAGAAATGATTTTATGATTGATAAATGAATTTACTAAATTTAATACTCAATTAGTTATTTTTAATTTTATACCAACATTTACTTATGTACCGGTGATATAGTGTAATATTCTTACTAGGTTAGCGTAACTTATCCTTTATTTAACCATTTCAAATCAAGAGGACTTAGTTTCAGATCCTAATCCGCAATAAGATTGTGAGTAGATGCTATATATTTTGTATTTTCTATTTTTCATTTATTTCCTTATTTCTCGTATTTTTTTTTTAAAGAAAAATTACTTCCGTAATGCTGTTTAGTATTTTTAAGTTATTGTGTAAGAAATATAAACCTTAACCTTTTATTTCACTTATGTACTTAAATTATTATATATTTCTTTTTGAATTTTTGAGGTCGTTACACAATCCACAAGAGGGTTGCGAGTATGATAGTAGTTTTATTTATTTTTCGTTTATTTCCTTATTTTTTTTTTGTAATTTCCTTCAAAAGGTTAATTCTCGTATAACTATTTGGAACTTTAAGTTTATGTGTAAAAATGTAAACTTTAACAATTTATTTCGCTTCCGCACTTAAGTTATAATTTATTTATTTTGATATTTCGGAGTCGTTACATAAATGTATTTAGAAATATACATTTTTTTTTGTAAAAATTAATTAATTATATTAAATTAAACTAAACTATAAAATATTTTATTTAATTATAAGTTCAGAAAATTAGAGATTGAGATGTTTAGTCTTTTATATTTTCAATTTTAATATGATTTAACGACTAGAGTGATAAATATATATATATATATAGATATTATATGAAAAAGAAAACCTACAATGGTTTCTAGTTGTTTATTGATGTTCAAAAGCCTCTCTACCCTCTCCTATGTGAGAGATTGCCACACAAAATCCAAAAGTCATTTTTTGAGACTGGGTATCCTCCATTTGTGCCAAAACTTGATGTTAAAGCTCCACTCGCACCAAAATCTTCCTCCTCGTTGACTCCCTTCTTTTTCTCCTCCATTTATGTTTTTGTCTTGTGTATCATTGTATATGTGTTTTCCCTTTTTTTTTTTTTTTGTTAAAATTATTGAATTAGTTCATATTAGTTTTGTTCATCTCATTGATCCATTATGGTTCAAATAAGATTAAGATTAGTAAAAAATTAAATGATTTGGTTTTTAATTCATACCATATGCAAAATTTTTCTAATCGGGTATGTTTCGGTACAATTATGGATTAATAAATAATATCAGATTTATCTAATTAATCTTAATTTTTAACATAAAGTATTTCTGTAATTATATCTAAATTAAAAAGAGAACTTTTTGTATACAGTTTTTAATGTACACATCATTTCTAACTAGTACGTACTTACAACTTTTCTATAAAAAAAAAAAAAGAATCTATATTTACAACACATGCACTCTTTATTTTCCACTAATTATAATTTTTTTTTTTTAATTTTCTCCCAGTTTGATGGAACATATAAATTAATTAGTGGTTTAATGCAAGAACACAGAACAAATCATGTCCTAAAATGCTTGTAACTCTTAATACTATTAAAATTTAAAACAAGATTATCAATATAAACAAAATAATCACTGTCTAGCGGACATACTTATTTTCATTTAAAAAAAAAATTAATTATGTAATTAATAATTTAAGAGAAAATAATTATTGTTTTACATATTATTATACACCCACCAGCTATATTTTTTTAAAAAATAAATTATAATAATTTAATAACAAATAGTAGTTATTATTATTATCTATGATAAAATGAAAACAAAAATTCAGGCTGGCAATTCAAAGGAAATAAAAATTAAAGTCTAAATAAATTATTATATAATTATTTGCCAATGACTAATCTTTTCCCCCGGGAGGACACGTGTCGAAACATGATTACATCAAAGCAACTTTACTACAAAAACATCGCCATCACTGGATCCCAACCTTTTCAATTTTCTGATTTTTCTTTTTGGGTTTTGTAGAAAAATCGAAGTCTCACGTGCTTCTCTTCCTTTTCTTCGCCGGATTTTCCTCTTTTTCTCCGATATCTCCTCTCTCGCGTTTTCGAACCCTAACGACGCCCTCTTCTTTTCCCTCACTTTCTCTCGTTTTTCCGCTCTCCAAACGCTCCTTCTCCCCACTGTCAACGTTTTCTCATTTCCTGAAATCCATTGGACATACAAATTTGGATTCGGTTCTGAAATTACGTATACGCGTTTTATGTTTATGCGTTTCTTGTTTTTATATATTATACGTATCCCATACTGGATCTTCCTGTCTTTCCTTGTTCTTCCTCTACCCAAACGCGTTCCTCTCGACCATGACTCGACATAAGCCTGACTCTTGCATCCACTGATGTGGAGAAATTTTGAATTGAAATTCAAAATTTCGAGCATATGTAAAGGAAAAAGTATTTCCGACGTATTTGAGTTTTTCTATATTATGTTTTCTTTACTAATTTTTGCACGAAATTTGCTGCGGTGATTCCAAATAATTTGAAAGCTTTCAGAATTTGAGCTTCTTTTGTTTAAATTTCGAGTTCTACTTCCTTGAGTGATATTTTGAGGTAGCATTGATTGAGAAAATGGGGGCGGTGACATCATCAATGGCGGCAAAGTTTGCGTTCTTCCCACCAAATCCACCGTCGTACGAGATGGCAGCGGACGAGGTTACGGGGAAGTTGAGGATGTCGGGAGTGCCCAGCAGACAAAACGTCGATGTTTTGAAACTGAGCACCAAGAGAGGGAATCAGGTGGTTGCGTTGTACGTAAAGAACCCTGCTGCTTCGTTGACCCTTCTCTACTCCCATGGAAACGCCGCTGATCTTGGCCAGATGTACGAGCTGTTCGCTGAGCTCAGCCTGCATCTCAGGGTCAACTTGATGGGGTCAGTAACTTTTTTCTTTTAATTGGTATACTTGTACGTATGCATAGTGCTTATCATTATATATCTCGATGTATCATGTATGCATGTCAATTTACTTTACACGTTACATGTAGGTACTGTGGTTAGTCTTAAGTGAGATTCTGGATTTTTTTGATGCAGTTATGATTATTCTGGATATGGACAGTCAAATGGGAAGGTATGGAACTCGAGATTTTTACATTTCTTGTTCGATTTATGAGAATATGAGAAAAGCGAAGAGAAATTTAGAAGTTTTGGGTCTTCTGCACTGCAGGGTAGCTGAGAAAACGGAAAAAAGAGTAGATCAAATTCTGAATTTTAACTTGTTCATTGCTTTCACAGTAAAATGAAAATGAAAAACGTGTCCGTTGCTTGCAGCTAGTAAAGTGAAAATTGATTTCAGGAGTAATATGTAATTTCTTTTATCTCTTCCTTTCTAAGTTTTTTTTGAACCGGATGGGATTATGGATTTCCAATTTAATGCAACAGTAGAAAACCTGGAGACTGTGAAAACACTATGCTCTTCTCAGTATAGATAGATCACATTGTTTGCTGCAGTTGGACATCATGAAAATTCAGCAACCTTATATATAATATTATATTACCAAAAGCATGGTCGACTCTGCTTGCATAGTTGCTGAATTAGGCATTGTCTTGTTTTCTGATGTTGGACAGCCAAGTGAGCAGAACACATATGCTGACATAGAAGCTGTATATAAATGCCTTGAAGAGAAATATGGAGTGAAGGAGGAAGATACTATATTGTACGGGCAGTCAGTTGGGAGTGGACCTACTCTAGATTTGGCAACCCGGTTACCTAAATTGAGGGCTGTTGTTCTTCACAGCCCAATCATGTCTGGCCTCAGAGTTATGTATCCAGTGAAGCGAACGTACTGGTTTGACATTTATAAGGTTTCTGAACTTTCATGCAAGAAAATGAAAAAAAAGTTTGTCTTTACTATTTTCAGCACCTGGAAAATATTCCTTTTTAATGATTGGTTTTTTTTTTTGGGTGCAGAATATTGACAAAATACCATTTGTCAAGTGTCCAGTTCTTGTAATTCATGTAAGTAGTTGCCAGTTCTTGCGCAGTGGTTTACAATTGTAATTTGTTAAGTTCTGTAATATAGTTCAATTTGATGAGATATTTCCTATGCTCATCGATTATGTATGTTTTGTGGTGTTATTTTATTTTTTCTGCCTTCTTTCTTGGATATAACAAAATAGTTGAGCGACTTAGCTGATACCTTTAGAGTGCCCAGCTCTGTGCTTTGACTAAATAAAATGTAGCTTCACATGCTTCACAAGTTTGATTATGTTGCATAAACTCATTTATTTAAGCAGAAGCTCAAAGTCACTTTTTTGTTAGGTTCCTGGATTAGTTTCTAGTTATTGGTTTAAATAGGGGTAATTGCTTGTTAAGAGAGAACTTGACCATCTCTGGGTTTTGTTAGAAACTCACACTTCTTAATGACAAATTCTGCTTGCCTTAGTCAGATTCTTCTCGTACTTATACAGGAAGATAGTACAAATAATCTTAGGAAATAGGTAATTTTCTTTTACTGGTGTGAACCAACTTCCCACTTCTAGAGAAAAAACTGGAAAGCTGACAAAAACTGAAATGAAAAGAACAGAATAACCCAATCTGGAGTTTTTTTCCCTGAATCTAATTCAGCTATGCTCTTTACCAGGATTTAAGGGAGGGAATAACGTTAAAGGAATGGTCAACTGAGGAGAAGGTTCCCATGAATTTCCCTTTGTTCTTTTCTAAAAATGCACTCTAGATCCAATAAGTTCCCTTTGTATTTTCTTTTTAAATTTTGATTGAAGCATGAAGTGCAAATTTGCTTTAGCTTCATTGTACAAAGGTAAAGGAGTAGGAGGAAGTGCCACTTAAAGAAGTGCAGGGAGCTATAATTAATATCCATATAATAGTACTCATAGCATTACTTAATATTTAATAAATTGAATTCACCCTGACCATCAGGAAACTCTGAAATTTTTGTGTAATATCAGGAAATAAAATGAAAAAAAAAACATTAATTTTTCAGTATTAAAATCCTGAAGCATAAATTTTTTGATTAGAGGTCATCCTCTCTGTTCTAGCGAGAATTTGGGGGGATTTGATTGATATGATGATAGAATTATGAAGTTTTTCTATATGACTTGCACCTTCTTGGTTGTTTTAATCCTATACTTTTTATTAAATCCTGTAGCATAGATTTGTTGCTCGTTGCTTCTTCCCCTGCTTATTAGCACTGTTATATGGTGGATCAATCTCATGTTAATATGTTAGACCTTTGGCTGTGAAGTATTTGATTTTTCCTCACCAATCACATTGTTGTCTCTATAACTGGAAATGTCACTAACTAAAAATCCTTCTGCGCCAGAAGGTTAGAAGTTAGAATTTGCTTCCCCCCTTATATTTTAGGAGCCCATTGGCATCTTCATCGTTGGCCATGCTTTTAGGTTATTCATTGTCCGTGTAGATGTAGCAAAGTTTGTTGATAATCAAGGTTGACAATGTCTCCTGAACTGAAGTTCTTATAAGTGAAAGATAATGTGCCTGACATCCTGAATTTTTCAACTGCA